TGATAGAAGTTAGTCCAAGACTGACAGGCAATTTCACGAACATTATAAAATGTGTTTTAGTTTATCTTTTTTATTTCATGGACTATATTATTTTTTTAACAAACACTTGGTTTGGTTGTTATTAAGCACAAAGCTACACTGTGGGCTAGCCGGTATCGAAACCCGAATTATAATTCAACAAACATACTGGCTCTGAGAAAGGTTTGTTTGTTTGTTTGTTATGGATTTCGCGCAAAGCCACGCGAGGGCTATCTGCGCTAGCCGTCCCTAATTTAGCAATGTAAGAACTATAGGGAAGGCAGCTAGTCATCACCGACCACCACCAACTCTTGGGCTACTATTTTGCCAACGAATAGTGGGATTGGCCGTCACGTTATAACGCCCCCACGGCTGAAAGGGCGAGCATGTTTGGTGGGACGGGGATTCGAACCCGCAGATTGCCAGTCGAGCGCCCTAATCTATATAGCACTTAAGCCCATAGTAAAAACGTGGGCACACAGAAATTTCCTTATAAATTAGCATTTTTTTTGTTTGTTTGTTTATCATTTCGGGCACAACCGTAATATTTATTTCGTTGCTGCTCCCCCCCCCCCTCCAGTGGCAAAGCGATATATCTGCGGATTTAGAACATTAGAAACCGTGTTTCGATACCCGTGAGGGCAGAGCACAGATAGCCCATTGTGTAGCTTTGTGCTTAATGTCAAACAAAACTTTCGTTGCTAGAAAGAAAAAAAATTTAAAGAAATAAATATCCCTAGACCTACAAATCTGTGTCCCCTGGTGGGACAGCGGTTCGATTCCCCTCGGTGGACATAGCAGATAACCTGATGTAGCTTTTATATTAAAAACAACAACAACAAAAAAACACACGCAGACAAATCGATATTACTTGCTAGAAAGTAAGCACGTGCATAATAATAATAAGTAATAACACAGACTCCTTCTGCGGTATTAAACTTATATCAAAGTGGTTGACCGTGTGCGAAACTCTGTTTAATAGTAGAATCATTTAAAAAAGTTAAATTCTTTTAAAAATGTTGTAACAACTCACTTAAAATATTTGTTCAAAATTACTCTTTAACCAGTTAGATATTTATAGCTAAGTCTGGCCAATAAACTGCTTGCTTATATCACGCAACGTCATAGTAACAGACCGACGCTCACGTTTTACCTTGGGCTAACTTTAAAGCTCGGCCTTCTGAACGAAATCTAGAGGATAAAGTTTTCTTCGGATCTGATTGTCACGTAAGCTCCGAATTTATCGTTTTCATCCATCGCTTGACAGTTTCAAAGGAAGCGGTTGAAAGAGTCCTTACTGAATGAGCCGAACAACTTTGGTTCACGGGTATATAAAAAAAAATGCTTGTGTTTTAGTGTCTTTTCTGCTCTCTAGTGCCTTCTCTATCTAATGAACTGTATATAACTGATTATTTGGAGGTATGAGTAAGCGTTCCGAGTACATAGCTTTTTAAACATCACAAATCGAAGTTATATCTATTCACGGTATTTTTTTTTCTCTCATTCTTGAAACATCTTTAAATTCTCAATTTGTTTGCTCTTCATTGCAGTGCCTCTAGTGGCCAGTTGTGTTTCAACATCATAGTACGGCCGCTTATGAAAAATGTGATCGGCGTTGAGTCGAGTGAGCTATCATAATATATTTGTTTGTTTTGAATTTCGCGCAAAGCTACACGAGAGCTATCTGCGCTAGCCGCCCCTAATTTAGCAGTGTATGACTAGACCCAGCGCCAACTATTGGGCTACTCTTTAACCAACGAATAGTGCGCTTGACCGTCACATTATAACGCCCCCACGGCTGAAAAGGCGAGCATGTCCGAACCCGCGATCCTCAGATTGCGAGTCGAGCGCCCTAACCACCTGGCCATGCCGGGCCCATCATAATATATAGTTAGGAAGACGTACCATGCAACTAGGTTTTTGCTGCATGTGTTTACTTGAAGTTTAGACAACTATTTTCTTAAGCTTAGGTTAACCACGAGAGGGCGCTAAACTAACCGGATAATGAATGGTTAAATGATGTTACACCACGTTAAAATGTTTAAATCGGTTGTTATTAAGCAACAGTATCGTTTCATGATCTGGTTGAGGCTATATCTTTCACTAATATCACATATGACCAGTTCTTTTCTGGTTGTTGTTGTTGTTTTTTACCCTAATTTAACGTAAAGTTAATTCAGTTTAATTAATCTAAAACGTTATTCGGTGATAATTTATAAATTTAATTTTTGCAATTACGCTTCAGTCTATAATCTGCTGACATTACAAACCTGTACTTAATGTTTAGCTTCATAAACCCAGGTAACCAGTGTGTTTTAAGTTAGTATAGTTTTAACTTAGTTTAATCCTTTTCTTCTTGGTGGTAGGATCTTACTTAATGGATTGCAGAATCCTTTGGAATTAACAAATAAAATATTCTAAGGGCCAGGATTGTTTTGAGAGGTTTACTTAAGTCTTCCTCCACTGGGATGTTCATCTCAGAGAGAGAGAGTACAAACACCCAAGATTTACCAAGTAAATTATTCTAAGGGCCAGGATTATTTTGAGAGGTTTACTTAAGTCTTCCTCCACTGGAATGTTCATATCAGAGAGAGAGAGTACAAACACCCAAGATTTACCAAGTAAAATATTCTAAAAATTCATCTGGTTTTGGAAAGCTTAATTTGGGTTTTCAAAAACGTTTTCCTGTCAGAAGAAGTGTAGAAAGATTATAAAAGTAAGATAAATGAGGTAGAAAATAACTTAGAATAATGCATTTGGAAAATGAATTGGTAAATGCAAGGATTCAATCAGTCTTTTTTTTTTTGGCATCCGCCCAAGATTTCCAACTTAAAACACCATTTACTATAAAATATAAAACATGAGAACAGATTTGGTTTACACCTGATACTATTGGAGCTGTGATTGTTGGACCTTCCTGGACTATTCCAGCCACATTACCACCAGATATAATTCCAAAACAACATTATCCAACCGAGAAACCAAGGACTAGGCCTCATCTAAAAAAGGGTAAAATCACAAAGATTTAATAAATAAATCTTCTAAGGATCTGGTTGGTTTTCGGACTTATTTCAATTTTTTATCTGTTGATGTAGCACCATGGGGATTTACAAAATAAAATCTGTTATGAATCGACATGGCTTTGAGAGGTTGAATTTGGACCCTTTCTCAACTATGGTATATTTAAAGGAAAGTAGCACCATGGGGATTTACAAAATAAAATCTGTTATGAATCGACATGGCTTTGAGAGGTTGAATTTGGACTTATTAAAAAAAACTTTTTTTGTAGAACATAATCAAAGAATCTAAATCTGATGAAAACCCAAATGGTTATGTGAACATAATATTAAATATAACAAAAATAAAACGTTAGGGTTAAGCTGCTTGTGCATAACTCAGGTAGTTAAACAACGTGCTCTTTGATATTTGAGTATTCTTGGAACTGTAATACAAACAGATAAGATAGACGTAGAGTTATATGTAAATTTCATGTTCACCTATGTTTTTGTTTGTTCTCTAAGAAGCAACAAAAGAGAATTATAAAATTATAAATTATATTCAATACTGTATTCTTAGAATAGCATAGTCAAAATTTACTCTCCCCCCTTCCTTTTTCAACGAAACATTCGCCTGACCCTATAATCCAGAGGGCGTTTTACAAATTTCAAATACCACAAACTGTGAGTTAAAGAATCTTTGGAATTTGTCTTTTAAAAACTGGCATAAAAAAACAACAACCTGAAAATAATGCATCTGTCCTGCCATCTGTATTTAAGTAGCTGAGGCACTAAAGCTATTTCCTGAAATTTACAAACCTACCTTCTGGTGTTAGTTTTCGGAGTTTCGTGGCGAGATTTAAATACGTGTAACTTTAAGTAACATAATTATACAGATGTTCCGTTACACAAGCAACAAGGCCCAAACGAACAAACAAAAATAAAACACCAAAAATATAATATGTAACCACGATTTATTCACGTTTTCTTCATTGCACTAAGCTGTATTTAAAGTAATACATTCCTTATGTCACGTTTGGCCACAGATGTTAAACTGGAACTTAAAAGGGGTGGGGTTAACAAAAGGGATGAAAACCAATAGAAAACCAACAATAAGTCCACCAGAAAGATCTAAAACCAATTAAAAACAAGAGGGTATCCTCAGTAGCCGCGGCTGTAATCAGATCTCAACTTGGTCAAGACATAGAGCTATGAGCTCAAAATTTGTATTCGAAAAAAAAAAAATTCAGAGCCGTTCTATCAGCTATCATGCCGCGGCTAAAAACGCGAAGCCAAGAATAGTATAAAATATTAGATTATAACACAGACTCAAATACATAAAATTTTAGTGACAGGTATCTGAAGTAGTTACAGAAATTGATAGAATATTTTTTATACTTTTGAAAATTGATTTATACGATAGCAAACAGAAAATTAACATTATTTGGATCGGAAGGACACGGAGTTAGAACTATTTACTAGTGTAAAGAGACAGACGGATGGGTGGGGGGTGTCAGTTTTGATGGAAGCTGGCAGTATTTGTAAGCCTACAACCCTGCAGTTTGGTAGCTTTATACTCCAATTTCTACCCCTTCTCGATGACTAAGAACTCAAGTTTACAACTGAAAGGAGTTTCTCAACATATTTATTATATTGTAATGAGCACAGTAAAGAATTTAAAGTGTCACAAAAACTTGGCAGATGTTGACCATCTGGGCATAGTACGGTAAGAACATGAATCATCGAGTTTCATTTGTGGTGACTCTCAGAAAACTGCCTCTGTGTGTGTGTGTGTGTGTGGTCTTCAACGTCTATATAGATTACTATAGGTTGATTATTAATACATCAGTTGTTTAACTTATGCACCTTTTCTGAAGTTGATTATTTGTTTCTTTATATACGTGAAAAGAAAAGGTCGTATTTTTGGTCGGGAAATATTTCCTACGTGTATATATATATATTCATTCTTATTATCCTGTATTTTAGGTAAAATTTTAGAGCACATGCCTCTTTCGTCCTTATCGTTCCCCTACCTATCAATGATGCACCATGCACCAAGCTCTGCCGTCTTGAGTCAGCATTTACCAATGGTCTCAGAGGCGCCATCTAGTGTTGATCACTCGTTTCGTACGACACCCACGTCTGCACCGACACCTAGCGTTAATCATCTCTCTTACATGCCACACCCACACGACGAAGGTCTTCTGGAGTCTCTGCGGTCAAAAGTAGCCGACAGCATGTCGAAAATGGCGTCTGTAGCCCCACACAACATGATGAACAATAAGGTAAGATGGAGTATATATATTATTTTCCCACTTTTTGCTTTTAAAAATAAAGAAATATTTCATTATTACTCTCTCCATTATTGTTTATATTTATGAAATACAAAGAATATAATACTATAACTTTCTCAACAATAGAAAAATCTATTTTTTGTGTGTGTTTGAAGTTAAGCGCAAAGCTACACAATGGGCTACCTGTGCTCTGCCCACCACGGGTATCGAAACCGAATTTTTAGCTTTGTAAGCCCTCAGACTTACCGCTAGGGCACCGATTAATTTAATTTTTTTATCTCATTTTAGGATATGGCAACTATTCTAACTCTTGCTGCGCTGGGAACGAAAGTTGCAACTGGACAAGCGCCTCCAGAGGGCGTCTTTCCTGCTCAATCTCCAAGTCCCATTGTGTCGCCCGTGACTACAGCGCCCTGTTCTACGCTGGTGGTTCCAGCCAGCACAGACTCAAGTAAGTGGAATGAAATACCCTCTTGAAAGACTTAAAAGTCACATCTGACCATAATCTATTTCCAGTACTCCAAGGTTTAAAATTTACAGTCAACTTTGATCCATGTGCTAAATATAAGACATGTTAATGAAAGTTTGTTTGTAAATAAGCACAAAGCTACACAATGTGCTGTTATTGAAAGTGCCCACCGTTTGGTTCGTATATTAGAAGTGGTTTAACCCATTGCGTGTGCGATTAAAACCGTTCTTTATCTTAGGAGTTTGTTAAAGTATCTCAAACGTTAACGTTATAAGCTTTGCCAATTCGTATCATGTAATATTTCTTTTTTTTCTTGATGAAATAAAAGGAAAAATAAAGTGATTTCTACCATCTGGCAGATGTTGACAATCTGATCAATACATTCACGGTCTTTAATCTTGTTTTGCTCGAGGCTCTTGTTTGTTATGTGTGTGTGTGTGTGTTTTTTTCTTCTCTTGCTCACTGATTTGTCGCTGTCTTTTCGTGTTTTTAAACCTATTGTTATCAGTAAATGGATCTTCTTCATTTGTATTTGTTGTGTTTTACTACTTAAAGAACGAAGACTTGATGGTTTGAGTCGCTTGTTGAAATAGTCTTAAGTATAAAAAAAATACCAATGCATAGAAAGCTTTAATGACTAAGATTAAGAACAAAGTAAAAAAAACCATCCAGTAAAACGTCGTTAGTCCTAGGTAATAAATTTTATAACATTTGTATAATATTTTATTTAAAAGCATCTCGTCCCGATAAAGCTGTTATCGAGTTATAGATGGCGCTCTTGTAAAAATAATCAGATTACTTTCTTTCGAGAGTTTTTAAGTTTGTTATGCCCCAAAAATGGCCATTATAGAATTTCCTCAAGTCTTTTATCTTTCTTTAAATTAGTTTCAGTTTTTAACTCAAACCACTGATAAAAATCTCCAGAAAAAAAAAAATCGTAAGTAAGTAAGAGCCTCAAGGGTAGCTGCCAGTCCTAAGAAAAAAAATAGGAAGAGAGAAATGAATAACACAAGCCTTGCTATTTGGTCAAAGGAAAATTTGATGCTACTTTTAAAAATATTTTATTATAACCTTGTTTTTGACTACATCATCGGGTTTTTCTTCGTTTTGTTTAATCCCCTAAACAAGTCCTCTTGTGGTCGACTTCAAGGTTACGGTTGACGTGCTCTCTCACTCGCTTATTTTTTTAACTAGTTACCCATCCCATAATTTTTTTGTGTTCCTTTAATGTTTGATATGAATGTGTATATATAATACTGTGAACTGCGATAGAATATCTAAGCGTTGAAATAGTTGTACTGAATTTATTATATATTTTTTATAAAGTGTTATAGGCATTTCTTAACCAAAAAAATCATACAGCAATAAAAAATCTTTTTAAGGATTATAAAAAAAACTTTTACCAAACGACCACTTCCAAATCTTTATATTCAATTACTTTGTTGTTCTTTAGAAAAGTCCCCCAGTGGCACAGCGGTATGTCTGCGGACTTACAACGCTAGAAACCGGGTTTCGATACCCGTGGTGTGCAGAGCACAGATAGTCCATTGTGAAGCTTTGTGCTTAATTCTAAACAAAAAAAAAAAAAAAAGCTTTCGAAACTTGAAAGAGGGATCATTTTAAGGCATTTCTGTCATTTTACTGGCCGGTTTTTTTTTTCTCTTTTTCTGGATACAACTTTCCTGGAAGAAATTATGGGGAGATTCCTACAAACAAGGTAAATGTACTCTGCCCCCCCCCCCGCTGGGACAGCGATAAGTCTATGGATTTACAACACAAAAATCAGGGGTTCGATTCCCCGAGATGGCTTTGCTATAAAACACACACACACACTTTTGTACTCATGCGGGTTGTACTTTATCTCTACGTTAGACAAATAAATATTTTTTAAACAAAACAGTTTAACCAAAAAACATAAACATGCATGAGTTACTTATACAAGGCGGATTGTTTATTTACTAGATTATAAACTTTATTTTAAACTAAAGGTAAATATGTAGCCAACTCCTCACTAATGAGTCAAATGATAGATTTAGTTTCATATTTATTTTTAATATCTCAAACAACTTGCCTCGGGAATAATTTAGGAAAATGAAATATTAGCATCAGTGTTTCGTATTCTTTAAATTCTATATGAATATAGGTTCATCGCGGTGAGTTAAAAACGACTAAAAACAGTAAGCGTGTAATTTCTTTTATAAACTATTCACAAACGAGACTGTACTATTGCCATCATCCGTCTTGTCATCACGTTTCTTGGATACGAGAGTTAATTGTTATTTTCGTATTTGTTCTTCTAGTATACATTCGTGTATTACTTTCCAGAGTTTTCTCGTCACGATTAGTAAGCTTTATTGTCCTGTTTTATTTCTCATAAATATTCTGTTGTTGTTGTTTTTTTAACTTGTTTATTAACTTTAGCTGTGTTGTGTTGTTTTATTTTTATTAGGTTTTCTACTAAGTTTTATTCTGTTATTAGTTTCTAATTTATAATATTATCAGCAATAAGGTTCGTTGGCTACAGTATATAAAATTGAATTAATGTCCTGTAGGGGGCAAATCGTGCAGCAAGCTTAAAAAAAAACAATAACTTTAGCTTATTTTAAAAAATACTGAAAAATGTTCATTATGTATAATTTGTTGAACATCTAGGTTAAAGAAAAAAACACGTTTATTGTTCAGTAATCCACTTTAAACGGACTTAGGTGTTCAGTGGTCCATGCGTCTATCCAGTTTCTTAATAATGATGATAATATTTATAATATTATTACGTCTTATTATGTCTGCCAAAAAGAGATGCGTTAGACAACAATACCCAAATTTACCCTCCTTGTCGGTGATTTGAATATATATATATTTTTATTCGGGATGGAATATATACTTCCATTTGGCATTCTATTCCTTTCTTTCTTTTATTTTCATCTTCCAATGAATCATATACAATCCAATTTCGTTTTCTTCGAGACAACTTCTCATTAAGGAAAAAAATACTGATTACTGTGGGCGGGACGAGCCACAAGAGTAAATCGTATCCTACAGTTAAAAGTCCTGACAGACATAGATAACAAATCGAGTTTCTTAGCAAATGAAAACTCGTTTTGTGAGGAGATAAAAAATTGTCATTTTACCTGCCCCTACAAAAATCAATCCTTACCACTGGCCGCTCTGTAATTCATCATTTATTTTTTCTTTTTCTCCTAATACTACTGTCAATGATAAATGTTTACTTGCTTTTTTTAGGCATCTCTTTTGCTCCCACCCCATCATTTCATTGGATAACCCCGTCCTTGTTCCTTCACTTGTTCAATTGATCTGTTCCCCCCCCCTCCCCCAGAAGATAACATTTAATTGTGTGGGGAAACATAAAAGAAAATTGGGGACCAACGTAGCGTGTAATTGTGGCTTTAACTTTGCTAAAAGGCAAGTTGCAGATACAAAGCTATACTCTGGTGTCGGAATTATTTTTCTTAATTATCTTCTTGAAACATCAACGTTCCCGTTTTGTTGTTCTTGTGTTTTTTTTATTCGAAAATAAATCTATTTATAATACTGGCTTTCCAGGTTTCGTTCCAGTTTCGTAAGCAAATCTTAAAAATAATGACCTCTAAGTTTTAATCTTGATATAAAAACAAACAGAATAAAAAAAATTCTTATGTGTTTCTCGGTGTTTCGTAATTAAGAAAGCAGCAACAAGATAGTATTATGTGTTTGTTAGTCCTCACAATTAACGAGAGAACATGTCGACTTTGCAACGAAGCAATATACAACAGCTTCTTTTTTGTTTGTTTTTTGAACTCGTTAGGACCAAATTGGAATTATTGGTGAATGAAATATTAAATTTTATGAAGTATACTTGCAAAATAAATCAACGTTTATCTTCATCCAATTAAATTTCATTGTTTTTGAAAAACACTTTATGTTGTGTCGAATTCAGACATTTTGATAAATGTTCCCTTCTTGATAAACTAGCTTCTATCAAACTGGCCAATATTTAACAGTTATAGTCTCCACTGTGTCCCAGGCAACATTAGGAGACGTAGGCAAAAACAACAAGTAATATATATATATATATATATATATGATCTCAAACGTAAAAGCTTAAACATGGTACAGTACTTTGGGAAAACTTTACAATCGACTACAAGATTTCTTGATTGGTTTATTATCTTCTCTTGATTGTTTACACTAGAAGTTATAAACATAGTTCTGCAATTTTCCGTTATTTATGGTTAAAACTTTGAGCCTTTTGATTATTAGAAGATCAAGTACAACGTTTTAATTTGCCTTAAGAAGATCGTGTCACAGCAGTTAATGTACATAGAATCAACCAGGGGGAACTTTAGTTATCTCTGTCACAGCAGTTAATGTACATAGATTCAATCAGGGGGGGGGGGGAACTTTAGTTATCTGTGAAGATTTTCTTTGTTTTTGTGTTGAATTTCGAGGAAAGCGACTTGAGCTAGCCGTGATGGACTAAAGGGAAGGCAGCTAATCAACACCACCCACCGCCAACTCTTGGGCTACTCTGTTTTTGTGTTGAATTTCGAGGAATGCGACTTGAGCTAGCCGTCCCGAATTTTGAAGTGATGGACTAAAGGGAAGGCAGCTAATCAACAACACCCACCGCCAACTCTTGGGCTACTCTGTTTTTGTGTTGAATATCGAGGAAAGCGACTTGAGCTAGCCGTCCCGAATTTTGAAGTGATGGACTAAAGGGAAGGCAGCTAATCAACACCACCCACCGCCAACTCTTGGGCTACTCTAATCGAATAGTGGGATTGAACGTCACGTTATAACTCCCTCATAGCTGAAAGGGCGAACGTGTTCGGTGATGGGTTTCGAACCCGCAAGTTGCGAGTAGAGCGCCCCTAATCACCAAGCCATGCCAGGTCGTCTGTAGAGGCAGTAAGAATGTTTTGTTTGTTGTTAAGCGCCCGAGGACTATTAAAAATAAATCGAAACACTTTAAAGGTATCGAATGTTGATAACCTGTCCGAATTTTGTTCGCAGTAAAACATATAACCATAAGGAATAATAATGAACAGTATCAGTTGAGAACTTGTTAAATGTGGGGAGTAGAGGGGGGAAGAGGAGGAGGAGCATAGTAACGTGTTTTGCAGGTTTTCTGGAGCGTTTGATTAAACATCGAAAAACAACAATAATTAACTGACAGTGGATGGCAAATTGATCTGTTTCATGGGTTTCCACATTATCTACTACATTAAAGATGACTGTAGACTTCGCACGTCACTGGGCAGGAAAAGGAAAGTCGGGTGCGAGAAATGCCGCTTCAGTTTACTGCACATAAAAGAGCATACTGTAATTTATTCTATTGGCATTAAAACAACAATGTGGATTTCTTTTTACATCACCTTAATCGCCTATGGAAGAACATTGTTGTTACGCTTGAATAAATGGCGCCATCTGGAAGCTGTTCAGTGACATTTATATATATATATATATACTGTTGACATCAGCTGAGATTAACTGGCCTTGATTATTTGCCTGCACAATGGGCTGTCTGTGCTGTGTCTACAGCGGGTAGCAAAACCCTATTTTTTTACGTTATAAGCCCCCAGACTTGCCACTGAGGAGCTGACTAGAAATCTGAAGAACTAATTCATATATTTTTTCTGTAGTAAGATAACTTGGGATCAAACATTCACATCTTGTGTATAGTTTTACTGTAGTTAGATAACTTAGGATCAAACATTCACATCTCGTGTATAGTTTTACTGTAGTAAGCTAACTTGGGATCAAACATTCACATCTCGTGTATAGTTTTACTGTAGTTAGATAACTTAGGATCAAACATTCACATCTCGTGTATAGTTTTACTGTAGTTAGATAACTTAGGATCAAACATTCACATCTT